AATTAAAGAAAACGACATCGATAAATGGGACACTCGTGTAAAGGAGTTAGGACACTAGTGTAAAGGAGTTACAATGCGCTTTAAATACTTTATTTAATAAGAGTATTCTTAGCAGTTTTAGCGTTATTTGGTTGTCAAAACAAAGCCGATAGCAGAAGCTTATTTGTTAAACTTGATTTAGTCATCAAACAATTGTACACGGAAAAAAAAGTGACTAGAAAATTCTAGTACCATGTTGTAGTAATAGAATTGTAGAAAAATACTTAACTTTTTGTAGAAAATTTTACTATAATTTATAGTTAAAAACTATTCATTATTGTAGCAATTGAATTGTCGAATAAAATGCTACAACAATAGGAGAGAAGACCACAATGTGTAGTATATTTTACTATTGTTTGTAGAAGTAGTATTAACAATTATTGTAATTATTACTATTAACTTCTGTTAAAATTTGTACAAATAATAATAATTATCTCTACAAAAAATAGTAATTTTCTCTACAAAAAATAGTAATACTTTACATACCTTCTTATGATAAAAATTCAATTTTGTTGAAAAATATTCTATAATATTGTAGAAATTTTAAGTCATGTGAATAAAACAGAATTCTGCTATTGGCCAACATTTTCTGACGTCGAGCATAAATTGTCAGATAGCAGTAGTCGTTCGCCATGTTCACAAAACAAAGCATCGTACATATATAACACATTATTATATCATAAGCAGTGATGGTTCGAGAAAATTTTAATAATAGCTTCTGTAAGTGGTAAGTACATTTATTATTGTTTCTGAATAATTTACCTTTAGATAACTAATTTAAATAACCTCAGTAGATTATTTTAATAAAAATAGTTATGGGGCCAACGATCGATTGTTGTGCTAAGTTCGATGATGTTTTTTTGATTTAATTGTGACATACATACTTTCTCATTTTTTTTAGTTCTCCGACGTGGTCATTTAATATTCCAATCACTGTTAAGGTTATAGATATCTTCGTTCTATGGGTATAAGCAGTTCAATAGGTATTAATTTTTATTTCATATTTTTCAGGTGCAGTAAAACCAACTGAGGCTGAGGAAGCTATTATTACTGTTATTTATCACATAATGTAATTAAGACTTTGTATCTTTTTAAATAAAATAATAAATTTTAAATATTTTATTAAGGAACATTTTTTCTAGGTTATAATTATAATAATTTTGGAATACCACTACAAATTTTATTAAAAATTAATACAATTTGTTTGAATTTTTACTATTTATTGTGTAAAACTTTCGTATTAATTTTCATGAAATGCAATACATTCTTATTATAAATTCATACAATGAATAGCAAAAATTATAATAATTTGTAGAACAATTCTTGTGAGACATATGGATATTTTTACTACATATTGTAGAAAATAACTCTACAATACATTCTCTACAAATATTTGGAAATTTTTACTACAAATTGTCCCTGTCCCTATATGTACTATTTATTGTAGAGAAAAAATCTATAATTGTAGAAATTTGTTTTACAATTTTTTTCCGTGTATTAATATTTCCGAATTAAGAATTAAGTTAAAAGAACACTGATCACGTACAACGTAAACAGAAGTAACGTTATGATAAACAAATACGCGAAGCGGAGCCATTCGAAATTTGTGACTTGGTTTGAGTACTGATTATGAGTGAGGCGTGTACCGGGGCTGCAAGAAATTACTAGCAAAGTTCAAAGGATCATTTCGAATAACAAAAGTGCTGTACAATGTACAATGATCGATACGAAGATTTGCGCAAACGGAGTTGCATGTTAATTGCAGCTGACAAACTTGCCAGATAGGTAACATATCAGGCCGAGACTGTCTGTTTGTTACATACTTTGAGGCCCATACTGCCTCGTTGGGCCGACACTGCCCGTTTCTTCCAAAGTTTAAGGCCGATACTGCCTTGGTGGGCCGACATTTCCCGTTTGTTTCAAAGTTTGAGGCCGACACTGCCTCGGTGGACTGACACTGCCCGTTAGTTCCAAAGTTTGAGGCCGATACTGCCTCGGTGGGCCGCCACTGCCCGTTTTTTTTAAGTTTGAGGCTGATTCTGCCTCGGTAGGCCGACACTGCCTCATGCGGTGGCCGTCACTGCCATATTTCATCGCCGTTACTGCCATGTTTCAAGACCGATACTGCCTTTGTGGACCGATACTGTCTTTGTGGACCGACACTGTCCGATGCGATGGCCGTTACTCCCATATGTCAAGGGCGATATCTCCTTAGTAGGCCGACACTGCCCAACACGATGGCCGTTACTGCCATAGCTCGAAGCCGATACTGCCTTTGTTGACCAATACTGTCCGATGCGATGGCCGTTACTGCCATAATTCAAGGTCGATACTGCCTTTGTGGACCGATACTGTCCGATGCGATGGCCGTTACTGCCATAGTTCAAGGTCGATTCTTCTTTAGTGGGCCGATACTGCCTATGTGATGGCCTTGAATGCCATTGATGATAAGGCCGTGACTGCCATTGATGATGCCAAAACTGCCTTATGCTAATATGGATTATATGTTATTTTCTTTTGGCCGTTAACGCCATAGTTCAAGTCCGATATTGCCTTGGTGGGCCGATACTGCCTTGGTGGGCCGATATTGCCTGATGTGATGGCCGTGACTGCCATTGATGAAAAAGTAGAGACTGCCTTTTGCGTATATGGATTTTATGTTTATTTTCTTTCAGTAAAACAAGGACTCTTAAAAAAGAAACTTTTATATTTTGTATTATCTGTGACCAATTTTGTTGTTACCAGGTTGATGTCATTTTTAGTTTATTATGTTTTAGAGTAACATTACTTATAATATTGGATTGTTTAGTTGAGATGAGCACATCTTAAATTCAGGAAGGCCGAATAAAAATATGTTTGGTTTCGATTGTTTATATCACCATGATACCCTTTGAGTGATGTTGCCGCTATATTAACTTTGAATATTGCTATATTGGCGAAATTAGGGATTGAAATAAAGATAGTTAGTCAAGCTTTGTAATTAATAAAATTAGCATCTCGGCATTGCTCTTTATTTTATTAATAAAACTTGTTGTTTTTGGACTTTAAAACATTTTAAATATTCTTACAAAGCCGCAATTTTTTTCTATTTAAAACTTTCTCTTAGTCGAAGATCAGAATATCGCTACTTAATTAGGAATATGCACGAAGTATAAATAAATTCTAAAATGGTTTCCCCAAATCAAACTCGAAGTACCTAATTTTCTAGTTTTATGAGTATAAATACCTAACTACTTATTTTATAGCCCTAGTAAAATCGCAATTGACACGGAGTAATAAATCTGTCAGGTCAGAAAATTTCAGGTGTGGGTGCCTATATTATTATTTACAGGGTACATAAAATCATCAGTTAAAAATATATTTTTTTGAATATGTATTATTGAGTATTAGTTCGGTATGAAGAAATTTTACAAAATACTTTTTGAGTTATTTGCAATTGTTATGTAAATGGTAGAGTTATTTGTTTAAATAAATTAACGACAAGGTATATAACAAATATTTTTCAAGACCTATAAATTTAATTATTTCCCTCGCCTGTCAGATTTGAAATTTTAACCAATCACATCGCAATGTAAGTTATCGTTAGAACCAATCAGAAACAAATAAATCAACTATTTTCACTGACTATTTGAAATCGACTATCCATGCATAGTGCTCGATATTCACCTATGTTGACAGCAACTCCCATACTTGATTGTAGTTGTAATATTAAAAGTGGTTACTGTCAAATATTATTAAGGAGGTCCTTTCGCCACCAATGTTAAATAAAAAATATTAGATTATGACTAAAATTAATTTTTTTCTAATAGTAGATGTCCTTGTTTATCTAATAGGTTTTAACTATACCTTACCGTGCAATTTTTTGAGAATTTTTTTTTTTAAAAATGTGTGTGTTTGTACAGTGTCTTATGAGAAAGTAAGACTTCAACAACAATTTTCGAATTATAATTAATTTTACTATTATTTATTGATTAGATGGAGTAGAAAAGAACTAAAAATAAGGTTTTTGAAATATTTAGGTTTTGTTTTTTACAATAAAATATATAGGTTACCGTGGAATTTATTAAGAAATTATTATTAAAAAATCACAAAAAATTTTCAACTAGGTTACTTGAAAATTTTTTGTGATTTTTTAATATTAATTTCTCAATAAGTTCCACGGTTTACTATATATATTTTATTGTATAAAACAAAATCTAAATATTTCAAAAACCTTATTTTTAGTTTTTTTCTACTCCATCTAATCAATAAATAATAGTATAATTCGAGAATTGTTGTTGAGGACTTACTTTCTCGTGAGGCACTGTACAAATACTCAAATTTAAAAAAAAAAATTTCAAAAATTTGCAAGGTAAGGTATAGTTAAAAGTTCAGTATTAGATAAATAAGGACTTCAACTATTAGAAAAAAATTAATTTTAGTCATAATCTAATAACTTTTTTTTTAACATTAGAGGCGAGAGGTGTGGCGAAAGGACCTCCTTAAGTGTCAGACTAAAAATTAATATATTAGTGAAAAGTTTAAAATGAACCGATTTGGGTGTGTTAATAGCGAAGAAATGGACAGTTTTATAAACAACAGGGTTTCATCCTACTATCCGGAGGTGCGAATTTCGAAGTTTTAGCACTAATATATTAAAAAAACTTACTTTTTATAACATTTTGAGTAAAGATAAGTATGGAAAATTACTTTTTAAATGATATTTTTATTTAATTATAATAAAATTAATGCAATATAGTGACTATTTGACCTAACTTTTGACATTATTTCCTTCCACAAAACACAAAACAAAATAATTTATGGAATCGTCTGTCAGTCCTTGAGTTTACAACTTTGCCATGTTGTTGAATTTAAAATCTCTTTGTGTTATGTCCAAGTTTGAATTTAATAGCGTTCTGTGATAGCAATAATTGTCATTTGTGGTTTGAATTATTTATTGTCTATATATAATAATAAAAATAATGGAAATTAAAAGTATTCTTGATGTTGTGGACGTGGACTTTTATAAAAAAACGGATGAGGAATTATTAACATGGTTGGTGAACAAAAATTTGATAAAGCAATTATTTAACGACCTCACAACAGTCCAACGTGAAGCAAATAACGTGCTAAAAAGACATCTCAAAGGACTAAGAACTAATACAAATAGGTACTACATCAAAGGGGAAAGGCTATTTGTTGATAACAAAGTTAAGACCGTCCAAGAATTACTAGAATTTGAACAGGCTGAAGCGGAAGCTATACGGAGTCAAGTACATCCTAACAGTGCTCCTGAGACTCCCACTCCAACCATATCTGTTCAAAACCTAAAACCACCGGTAATTCAAAACAGTAAAAAATAAGAGAAAAAAAAGACGAAAACACACAAAAATCAAGTAGAAAATACTCCAAAGGGAGGAAAACCAAAAAATACTGGTGCAAAACCTAGAACACGATTTGGATCCTTGAGAAATTAATGAATATATTTAAAATTATCATCATAAAAAGATTGATACCAAAATTATTGAAAATATATCTCTATTTAATACTTTATATTCAACAAAATTAGTCAAAGACTTTAAAATAATACATTTTAACATACGTAGTCTGAGTAAAAACTATGATAAGTTGTGTTTGTTTCTAAATTCTATTAAATCTGATTTTCACGTAATTATTTTCAAATTTACTTTCAAATTTAATAGATGTATTTTCTTTAGATGAGTATGATGTTTTATATAACGATGGAACTTTTAACAGAACTGATGGTATAGTTATATACATAAAATCAAATTTAAATTACAAATTCAACACCACATTTATAGGTCAGTGTAAAGCGGCAAAAGTTAATATTTCCTTTAAAAATTATAATCATTTTTTAACCGCGATATACAGATCTCCTAACTCTACTCAAACACCTGATATGTTCAATATCGTATTATTAAAATATCTACAAAACTGTAAAAATCAACAAAATCATATCATAGTAGGAGACATGAACATTAATCTTTTAAGTAACGAAGAACATGTGGAAGACTATAAAAATTGCCTCAACTAGTACAATTTTATTTCATATATAAATAAAATTACTAGACCAACTAGCAAAACTTGCCTAGATCATCTTTTCCTAAAGACAAATAACAACATAGACGAACACAACAGTTTTATATTTATAAATGATATTACAGATCACTCACCGGTAGCCCTAACATATAACATGAATACAGAAATCAATAACAAAAATATATTAACATATAAAACTTACATAAATTACAATACTTTAAAATTAGATCTATAAAATGAAAAATGCGAAGAATTATATAATTCAAATAATGGAAGTGACAATTTCGATAAATAGGTTAAATAATAACATATCTAAAAATAATAAATCGGTAAAAATAAAAAATAAAAAACAGTCTATAAGAAAGCAATGGATGACTGCAACATTGGTTAAATCTATAGAAGAAAAAAATAAATTATACATCTTAACACTAAATAATCCTGAAAATATTAGCATTAAAGAAAGATATAATAACTACAAAAATATAATTAGATCATTAATAAAAAAAGCTAAAAGTTTGTATATGAATAACTTAGTGATAGAAAATAAAAGTTCTTCCATAGCTTTGTGGAAATGCGTCAATAAACTTTGCGGAAGGAAAACATCTAAAACAAAAATTGAAAAGTTAGTTATAGAAAACAACAAAGAAAAAAAAAAAGATCGACAGAATATGCAATATATGCACTAACTTCACAATTATACAATACTTTGGATTTAAAAACCCCCGCAATTTCCATCTTCATCGACCTCTCTAAATCCTTCGATACTGTATGTCACAAACGGTTGTTACAAAAACTTCCGTGTTATGGCTTACGAGGAAAAATTTTTAATTTATTAAAAGGCTATTTAGATAATAGGATCCAACATGTAGATATTGATGGAATACGTAGTGGTCAGAAAATTTGTTACTTATGGAGTACCCCAAGGTACGGTACTCGGACCGCTATTATTTACTCTATATATAAACAGCTTGCTAAAACTAAATACTAAAGGAAATATTATCAGCTTCGCCGATGACACTGTAATAATTTATTTTGCTCCAAATTGGGATGAATTGAAAGCTATCATTCACGAAGATTTTAAAGAAATAAAAAAGTGGTTTCAACTAAATAAACTTACACTAAATATAGAAAAAACTAAATATTTGTCATTTACATCTTATATAAACCATCAACCAAATCTAGGACCACTGAGTATAGATGACATCCAGATCCCAGAATCAACATCAATTAAGTATCTAGGTATTATTGTAGATCAGCATCTCAAGTGGGACCTGCAGATAAATAATATTACAAATAAAATTAGAGCATTACTTTTTAAGTTCAGATACTTACGTGATTTTCTAGATGAAAAACAACTCTAAATTTTATACTCTTCCTTGGTGCAATCACACTTAAATTATGGAATAGTTGCTTGGGGTGGTGCAGCAGACTGTCACATGAAAAATCTAAACACGTTACAAAAATGGTTATTAAAAATTATGTATAGGAAACAAATAACCTACTCTAGTGATGCACTTTTTGCTGAAACTAAATTGTTCGACATGAGACAACTGTACTGTCAAAACATTCTAATTAACGTTTTTAAAAATAAAATAAAAATTACTCTTTCCCCACATGACTACTGCACCAGAGGAAAAATCCGTATCTTACAACCTCCCATAAAACCATTGGGCAGCGTTGTCCCAGTTACTTTGCACCAAGATTATACAATTTATTGCCAACTGATATAAAAAATATCAATAATCTAAGGCGTTTTAAAATGAGCATAAAGAGCTGCTTCATAAAGCAAAATAGAGCAGTTTACCTAGGACTTTCCTAGGGGTCGTTTGCGGTGAGAACGAAAATTCATCTTAGCAAGTAAACGTCAGTTGTCAGTTGTCAATAAAAATAACTTCCTTTAACTCTTTCCTACTTAATTTTCAATCGTACGCCAGTGTAAGTAACAAACCTAACAGGGATCTCGGCACATGTCCGAGCCCAGTAGGGCCCCCATAACGCCGAAAGGCTTTGAGACAGAATACTCCAAAAGACCCAAAAGCCGGTATAAATTCCTGGATAAACACAGGTATTCCAGCCCAGATAACTTTCCTCCATATAGAAAGAAACCCGCAGTAAGTACCAAAGAGACTAAGAAACTAACCAATAAACCCGGGGTCAGCTGTCCGACCCAAGGGGTCCCCCCGGCAAAAAATTTTGGGGTCTCACCTTCAAATGACCCCCAAAGTCTCATACCGAAGCAAAAAGCTACTGTTGCTAGTGTAAACACACCACGTAAGCCATCGGTGGATGGTTCCGAGGATTTGGAGTATCATTCCTCGCAGGAAAATATCTATTCAACCCAGAATACTCCAGAACCCCTTAACAAAAAAGATAATGAATATGAATACCCAACAGTTGAAATCTTATAAACGTGCTTGAGAAATCTTCCGATTCTTCCTCCGGAAGTGACGACGTCGATATGGACTCGACGGTGGTCCCCAATAAAAAAAAAGGAGTCTGGAGAACTGGACCAAGAGACTGCCAAATTTAACGCTGAGTACCAGAGAGAATTATTGCCAAAAGGAACATTCAAAACACTCCAAATGCCCGCTAATGTCATAGCCAAGGCGCTAGACTTTGGAGGCAACAATCCCTTATACAGTAATACTGGAAATGAGGGAGGTATCCAAACGAGGGATGAACTGAGTAGTTCCTCTGCTGGGTACTGTCCCCCATTAACAGTTCAACAGATACCCCAAACTCCTACCACGGTTCCTACAGAGAACTCCACCCCTAAATCGTTAGGTGCAATTCCCAAACAGAGGTTTAATGCAGACCCGAGGCTCACAAGAAAAGAGGTGCCACCAAGTGTTACAGACAACATCATGCACTATGACAGTCAAACCTCAGAAGAGGAAAATAGGAATGTCAGAGACAGGTTCGACAGGAAAGACAAACTGCCACACTCACCCAACAGTCTCTTCGAATTCAGGAGCGAAGAGCAAAGAGCTCAGTATTAAAGAGAGAGAGACCTCAAAAAACTCGAAGACAAGAAAAACAAGAACAACGAACCATTTATCGTACCGAGAAAGTTTAGCTCCAACTTTCATAAATTGGTTCGCGAGAAAGCAGCCAAAACCCTAACAACTACCAATAATACATATCAGGTACTAACCGATGAGTCAGATTCGGACTTGGATGATGATATCGGGAAAATCGTAAAAAAGCGAAAGAAAGGAACTAAATTTGTACCGTTTCCCACAAATGAAACACAGAAAGATTTACAGAACAAACCCTCCACTAGTGCTACTACCGTCTACAGCAATACAGGGAATAATAAAAACAAAACAACAAGTAGAGTTGTAAGACAGAAAAGCTCAATGCCGCCCATAGTCATAGACGGAATCAGCTTATCACAGATCTTAAAGCCATCGTACAGGGAGAATTTAGTGTTAAACACACTAATAGGACCACGATTCTCTTTGTCGATGGCAAAGAGGACTACGAGAAAGTTCTAAATAATGTGAAAACAGAAAAAAAGGCCAATCACATTTATACTGCGTACAACGACAAGTCCCACGCGTTCGTGCTACGAGGCCCAGCCGAGGGAACGAAGATACAAGACATCAAAGACAATCTAGCAGAAGAACACGAAATAGTGGCCAGGGAAGTGTACAAAATGAAGACCAAGGAGCGTCCCCTCTACCTGGTGGTAACTGAATTGGCAATTACTCTTGACTATATTAATAAGAACACCAGAAGAGTCTTGTATACAAGAGTAACCTGGGAAATAAGAAAATCAGTAAAGCAAATCATTCAATGTCATACATGCCAGGAGTGGGGACACGCCACAGCTAATTGTGGAAAGCCGGCTAGATGTGTAAAGTGTGCGGGTGATCACCACATACGCACGTGTATCAAGACAAGGGATACACCTGCAACGTGTGCCAATTGTGGGGGTGATCACCCAGCAAATTATTCCAAATTCATATCATACCTAGAAAGGCTGTTGAGGATGGAAGAGAGGAAACCCTCACAGCAAAGAAAGCTTGTACCAGCACCTTTACCAGTTATCAATCAGTGGGAAGCCAGGAAAAATAACACTCAAAACAATGCGAGAAAAGAAGAAGAATTTCCAGCATTAAAAGCCCGAAATGTAAGGCGAAATTCAGTAGAGGCCCCCAGAGCTGAATCTACCAGAACCAACCACACGAACTCAGCTATGAATGACTTCACAGCCCTAAATAAGGAACTTGCCGAATTAAATAAGCTTATTAACATTGGTGAGTTAACAAGGGCGATAAGAGCGCTTAACGCTGCACTCAAACATTGTATCACAGGACAACAAATTATCGAAACATATAACGCGTTTATGAGCGACGTTGACAATCAATACACACTTAGGAACTGAGCTTCATTCACAGACAAGACAAGACTGAAACAGCCCTCAGCTAACGACAGGACGTGGACTGGGCGCTGCTACTAACTGACTCACAGCAGCGAGAATTACACTGAATAGACAAATCTCGAATCCGGCTAGCTATCGACTCTAGTCGGATGGAAGACTGCACGGTGACGTCACTATTCAATGCAGAAATTGCGGCTAGCGCTCCAATTTCAATGTTGAATGGGGATTTTACAGTGTAGTCTATAGATTTGGCTTTCTCACGTACAAAGACTAACAAGTGACGTACACACATACAAGGACAACCCTGTTTTTTACGTTTTTCAGGGACGACACTCACAATTAAAATCAGACAAAAACTTAACAACTTTACCATTATCGCCCTTGCTTAACCTCATAAATGGCATATAATATTGACTAAATAAGGAGATGCCAAGCTAAATTCTGAATTTTGAAAAGTAGTTGTCAAATACGGCCACAACATCGGGAACATAGTAGGCTATACTTCCAGAAGGACACAATTGGAAGTCCCTCTATATTATATATATTTATACACTGTATTTATTATATATTAAGTATTTGTATACTGCTTATTGTAATTATTGTACATAATGTAAATAAAGAGTTTGAAAGAGAGAGCAAAATAGAGATATTTTTAATAATTTGATAAGTCTTAATTATTTACAATAACAATAATCTTTATAAAATATATTTTGTCTTAATTTTTGTTTTAATTTTATAGATACTTCTAAAAAAAACATCAAATTTAATTATTTAAGTAATTTAATTATTTAAGTATTGCTATTTTTACTCATGTCTTATTTTTACTCTTATTTATTTACTTACATTATTTATTCTGTGTAGTTTTTAATTATTTTTATAAGTACATAAATTTATAGTTATTTTAGAGAATAAATCAATTATTTAAAACATTATTATTTTACGGTACACATTTTATAGATCTCCTGCACACAGGCATGTTAAATGCCTGAGCGGGATATCCATGTTTATTCTTATTCATTCATATGTAATATTGTGATAAAATGTTATATGTATATGTACTATTAGCAATAAATATTATTTCAGTATTTTTATTTCATAATTTTTATTATATTTAAAACATTTTTTATTTGGATACATCTTTTTTATTTATATTTATTATACCATTGATATAAAATGAAAAATATACTTAATTAAGTCTATACTATTATAATATTTGTGAACTCAAAATGATAAATTAAATCAAATTGCCTTTACGCAGTTCACAATGGTGCAAATAAGTAGAACACCCTTTATTTATATACAAAAGATGTACAAACTTTAAAAAATTCATATTCAAACTATTTGAAGTTAAGAAGAAACCATTAGTATCAACATAAAAATAATTAAAATAAAAGTAAGAATTAAAACTTTGACAAATGTAAATTTGAATTATGGGATATAATAATTAAAATTGAAATAAACTCACCTTTATAAGAATATTAAATAGTAGTTGTTATGAAATTACAATTGTTCTTTGTAAATTATTAGTTTAAACGAATGTTTACTATCTAGATAATATCATTGCTTTAAAAATTTATTACTGAAAAAATTGAAAAGGGAGATAGAAGGCAGCCATTTTTGGAAAGGAGGGTAGAAAATCTGTTAAACCCTAAAAAGAATAAAAAACCTGATAAAGAAACAAAAAACACAGATTATCAATATAAAAGTTTCCGATGGTCCCCCTAAACATCAGATAAAACCCTTTCCAATCTTATAATTGAATCGCTTATTGTTAAAAGGAACTAAGTCACATTTTTACGTTTTTGACTTTAAAACATGAAACGAAACTTTAAGGATATTCCTTTCGTTTGGTGTAAGAAGGTACCGATAACTATGGCTAAAATAGTACAGAGGCAACATAGACGGTTCCTTCTTACACCAAACGAAAGGAATATCTTCAAAGTTTCGTTTATTGTTTTAAAGTCATAAACGTAAAAATGTGACTTAGTTCCTTTTAACAATAAGCGATTCAATTAGAAATTCATACTATTTTTACAATATCGTGATTTAGGTTTTCATAGTTTTTTTAAATCATATTCCCCAACTTATACTTGGACTTGTCCATTTACGAGGTTGGAAATAGCAAAATTGACCATATTTTCCTGGAACACAACCAGCCACACAGATCACACACGCGCACATGACAACTTAGGAAAATAACCTATTAAAAGGTCAATATTAAAAAAAATAGAGCACGTCCTCTTTTGCTGCTATTCTACAGTCATAAGTGCCAAACACAGTGCCTAAAAGTTTATCCTAGTATCCCGTATAGCCGTCCACAACGAAACACAAGGTATGAACCAAATATTATAATCGTATTTGTCGGTTAGGTTGGGTATCTGATAAATGCATTAGTTCATTTTTATTTTATTTTTTTGGAAAACCGCTAGTAATATTTAGGGAATTGATTAACAGCTGATACAGGTGTTTCTTGTTCTACCCAATTTCCTTAAAAAACCCGAGTCATTTTCAAGTCAGAGCGACCCTAACTCTAAGCTATTTATTTTTTTTAGAACGTATTTTGTTTCGACGTTCAAATCGGACCATGTAAACTGGTTTTGTACATACAGAGGTTAGTATTCGTAATTTTCACCTGGAACGATCCGTGTATTAGAGGTTCGGAACAATTTAGGAATCTCTTTCGGTTTTTATTGTCTCTGATTCGTGCCGAAGTAGGTGAATGATTCATATTTTTTATTAGGCAGGGAATATACTATATCAACGTTTGATTTATTTCATTTAATTTAAAAAAATGATTGTTGAGAGAAAATTTATTGTCTATTATACAGGGAGTACAGTAATTACCGTTTAATTTGTTTAGCGGTAGCCTAGGTGCCTACGGCGCCACTTTGATTTGCGAGCCAATCTTGTGGTAAACAAGACACAATTTTCGAATACTATGGAAGATCATGTGAATTTATTTGCATGGCTCTCTATAGGATTTGATGGATGACATACTAGCAGAAATTTAATTTGTATTTATATGACGTCCAGAATATAAAAATCGTTATGCTTTAACGTTTTCGATGACGATGGACGAAGTTTTATGGGTTTTCCTTACCTGTAAGTCAAATGACGGAATCAATCATCTTTAAGTCGCCCCGGAGCGCCATGGCAAATAACAATACTTTCTGTCCCTTCCCCTACAGGCTAAGGCGGCTTCAGGGGTTGAAATTCACTCATGAGGGGGTCAATTAGAAAGAGTATTATTATTATTAATTCCTAATTGGAAATTTATTTTCTATTATACCAGGAGTTGCTGGTGGTACAGTATATTTTATTCCAAGCTTTTTCGAGTATTTTTTTATTTTATTATTAAATCCTGTGTTTCTTTTTTTATAACACTCTTAACCTTTTTAGCTTAGGGTACCGTAAGGTACAATGTGTGAGATAGTATATTTTTATTTATATATTTTAGTGGCTACCCAATTAGCGGTGACCTCCTGAGACTACTTTGAGTATACTCTTGTGTACTAGGGAATTGTGCCTGAGATGGCATACTTGATGAGCATAGTCGCTATTTAATGAACATACATTTTGAATTACGCGCCTTTTGTTGCGCCCCCTTAAAGCTACCCGCTCAAACACACTATTGCGTTAATGAGAAGCTGATCAGTTACTTTTGAGTGGCCGAAAGGTACATTTGTATATCCAAAATATTTTAACGTGTCGTTCGCAAATAGTTTGGTGGGTCATGGAAGTTACTTGAAGGTATGTTATTGTAGTTTTCAGATAGATAATTTATTGAAGATTATATCTAGGTTATCAAATATCTAGTTTAAAGTGGTTTTTACCAAAAATTGTGTTATTTTAAAATAGTCGTCACATTTATGAGATGGCATACAGCAATTTTAATAACATGGCATGGTATGCCATCTCAGCAACTCAATTAATAACCGTGGGTATATCGAAAACACTTCTACCGTTCAAAAAGCAGCGTTTATTACTGGTATATCGGTTTATAGAATGAACCAAATTATAAAAAATGGAATTTCCTGCAAAAAAGTTCGTAAAGACAAAAGTGTAAAAAAAATTAGATCCAGCCATTGCCAAATCCATTGTGAATACAGTGTATGAACTTTATAGACAAAATACTATTCCCACTCTTGATATTATACATAAACCCTTAAGTGAAACTTATTTCAATACATATACAAAAAGGTCTGCACTGTATAATTGGCTAAAAAATCGGTTTTAAATACAAAATGATAGATAAAAGAAGTGCATTTATGGAAACAAGACGAATAGTAAACTGGATAAAATCTTATTTACAGAAAATTCGTGAATACAAAAATGAAAGCAGGCCAATTTATTTTCTGCATGAAACGTGGTATGATTCGCATGATACTGCAAAAAAGGGCTGGACAAATGATAATAAATATTGCCAAGCCTTAGGCATCCCTCCAAATAAAG